TAAATATGCTCCCAAGTTGAAAGTATAGAGTATATATTTTCAAATCCGTATAAGAATGTCAAAAGTCAATGGATTTTAATTTATGTGTAATGAATTTTAAAGTATTTTTCAAGTACTTTTCAATATCGAACACGAAATTTAAGAAAAAAAATTTTCACCCCTTTCTTTTCAAAATCAATCCTTATTTTTCGAGTTTTACCTATTCGGGCATTTAAAAAATAAATTTTATTTTCATTGAAAAGATGAGGTTTTTTCTAATAAGCTACGTAAATATAAAAGTGAGACAATAAACACCAAATTACGCTCCAAATTCTCATATAACATTTTAATGAACAATTTTGGTAAACTTACTTTGTCTTTGACATATTTTTTCTTTACTTAATTGTCTAATTTTGAAACAACAAAAAAGGTTTTTTTTGAGCGTATATCACTGACGCTTTTGTAATAAAAGAAAATAATCGCGATAACTCAACTCTGACCACTGTCCAACCCTGACTACTCTCTCCTAATATTAATAAAAAGTAAAAATGTGTTTAATAAGTATGAAATTATTAATTTAAACCTTTAACACCTAGCGGTTTCGATCGAAACCACTTTGAATTTAAAAATCCATAACTTTGTCAAAAAATAAGATAATCTTGTTTTCTAAACGGAAGTGACTTGGAAATTTATTCAACATTATGGGAAAATTTTATGAAATTTTTAATTATTAAAAATTTTTTGTTTATAACAATATAAACACAAGTATGTTTTTTTAAGATTAAACAAAAACAAATTATAAAGTGAAATTCAATATAAGTTAGCAAAAATGACTACTCGGGGGTTTTTGTGGTCGCTGATTATGAATCTGATGTCAGTTTTTCAAAATTTAAAATGGCAGATCCAATATGGCAGTTGTTTTTCTTAATTTTTCGGATTTGTAAGAAACTTGTTACTCTGGGATTTTTGGGGACTCTGATTACGAATCTAATGTTAGTTATTGAAAATGGCCGATGATTTTTAAAAAAAAATTATCGGATTTGCCTGAAACTTGTTAATAAGGGGGTTTTGGGGTCTCTGATTACGAATCTAAAATTAGCTTTTCAAAATGGCGAATAATTTTTAAAAAAATTATCGGATTCACATGAAACTCGTTACTGGAAGGTTTTTGGGGTCTCTGATTACGAATCTAATGTTAGTTTTTTTTGAAAATAAAAAAAATGGGATCAGTGTTCTGTAACCTCTCCGTGGTTGATCCCGGTAACTACCAATTTTTAAGTTCTACACTCAGAGAAAAAAAGTACGGAATCTGAAATGGAGAAGTTCAGCATCTGTATACCAAGTTGAGCGCAGCAACAGCGTCCCTGTGTGATAGATTCCGTACTAAAATGTGAAATGGATGTTGTGCTTGACTTGAGTATAGATACTGTACAAAGTATGGAACTGTTCAGAAGTAGAGTATCTGTCGGTCGCTATGAGACAAATTCCGTATAACTTAGTTCACACCGCTGCCGCGCTACTAGAGCTTAGTATCTAGCAGCACTAAAGAACGGATACTTACACCCATTTTATACGGCCGGCGTTCGTCACAGTACGGATTCTGTGCTTTTCTTCTCTCAGTGTACAAAAATTAAGATAACTTGGTTTTCTTTTCGGCGTAATTATCCTACACTCTTCTAGTTGTCAGAGAATATACGCACTTACCAATATTTATAAAAATTTATTAACTACAATTAAAAGAAGCACTCATGTTTGTTGAATTTTACGTAGTTTTATCACAAAAAATTGAAATGAATTACTAAAACGTTATTAAATAACGTAAAAATTCACTTCACTAACAAATTTGCTTTTCTTCAGAATTATAACCATCATATTCTAACAAAAATATCCCTATATTCCACCCTCTCTACAGTAAAATATTTCCGTTTGCAGTTGTAACATGTTACATATATGGGCACCTGAGGAAATGTATTAAAACTTATTTGATTTGTGATTCCATTCTTACTTTAAAGTTTTTGGAATTTCAGAATACTAATACGGAAGTTACACCGCGTGTTGTGCAGTAAAGAATCGTATTTTGGTAAACCTTAGAATTTGGAGCCAAACCTCTTTGTATAAATTTGTTGATTTTTAAACAAATAAAATATTATTATAAAATTATTCATCAACATCAAGTTATTAATGTTAAAAATCTATCTGCAAGCGCCCAAAGAATACAATTTAACACCTTTTTAAAATTTTTATAATAATACAGAAATTACCATAAATTAATCATAGAAAACCTCCATGAGGAATAAAAATGTTCATGAAATGAAGTTCACAGTTCAACTTGGCAGCAGTTTTTATATGGGGTATTTACGAGGTTTACGCCATGGCTTAAGACATCAAGAGGTTCTCATCAGCAGAGGAGGAAAAGTAGTTTGTCCGAAATTGACTTTGATTGGTTGATTGTAGTTGAGTAAGACCAGACGTGTGATATATGATTTAGTATTAAGAGCTAGATAACCAGAAAGGTTGCGCTTTATGCATAACAATTTGTGCAAAGGTTGTGTTTAAGCCGCATTCAAGCCTGAGGTCCAAGCCGCAGCTCTTTGGAAAAGGCGTTGAGAAATACTTTTGATTTTGGAAGAGGAAACGCGGTTTTCGAAATTATGAGAAAGTGAATTGTAACCTTCAAAACAAGAAAATTTTTGAAAAGTTTATACTGTTTTATATTTAAAAATACTGTAAAGATTAATTTTTAATTGAGAATTAACATAATGTAAATAATGCTTTTAATTTAGCAATAATTAATTTTTAATATTAGAATTAAAAAATTATAATTGGCTGCGATATTAAAAATATGTAAATAAATATGGTTAATTAAAAACAATTTAAATTTATCATAAAAAATGTTATTAAAATAAAAAAATAAAATGAATTATTTTCATAAAAATATGTAAATATTATTGTTAATAAAAAAATTTTATAGTGTATATTTTAATATTTTTTAATGTAAAAAAACTAATGCCAAATTTAAAAAAATAATAATAAATAAAAGTATAACAAAAAAGCATAAGCAAAAACAACTAATTTCAAAAGTGTGTACGGACCGAAAGAATATGAAGATTATTATTGTAATAATAAAATAGTTGTCTAAAAAGTGATATTTACACCAACCTAAAAATTGGGAACAACATTGCCGACATAAAACAGTTATTAACGATCAGCATTTTGCACATTTAATAAATAAATCAAATGCAATGTTCATTTTAAAAACATTAATTAATAATAAAAGTAAAGCTTATTTAAATGTCTTGATATTGATATACGCAACCTGCAATGTAATTTAGGTTAAGAACCTCTTGTCACGCAATCTAAAAAGTTCAGAAGGAAAATGGCACATCCTTTACACAGTTCGTTTGTGATTGGTTAGACTAATGTGTGACTATGTGGTCAGCTTGTCCGTGAACCATGTCTAGTAAAGTGCAACGTATTTTCTTGTATGACTTATAGATACTTCGACCTAAGAAGCGAAGCAGGGCGCTTTTTCTGACTCGTTAGGTCGAAGTGTGCATCTCATAGAATAGTCGTCTGCACACTAATACTTATTTTACGAACAGTATGACCATCTTGTTTTTGGAATGATAAGATCCTATGTACAGGTCTCTAGAACGATACTACAACTGTACTTATCCAGTGAGAAATGAAAGGTTTAATCGACGTCTATCCGACATCTAAGACTTTGAGAACAGGTTTAGGTCTAAAGATCTAGATTAATCAAAATAGACGTTAATTTAAATGTTTTTAAGAAGTAGACAATTGTTTAAACAGAATCTTAAACATATAAAACTGACTTTTTTCAATCATTTAAGAAAAAAAACTGAAATACGATGCACACTTACATTATCCCTCACATCACCAGATATTTTAAAATATCCCTGGAACGTCCTAGGGATATATATTTTCTTCCTGCGGTATGAATGTCCTGAGGATATGCAAACCGCCTGATATCCTCAGGACGTCCCAAGGAAATTCTGAAATATCTGGTGCTGTGAGGGACTACGACAATCTTTAATTCATGGGTATTCTAAGTTTTTGGATTTACTGAATCCAAACCTACAGACAAAATCAAAAAATTTAAAATGGCGGTTTTATAATATAGACAGTACTGATAGTGTCATATTGTCTCAGCACTGAGGATTTACCGACGTATGTGCGATATTGCGCCTATGTTCTTACCTTCAATATAATACGCCAAAGGAATAATCTATCTGCCTTCCAGTGTGAAATAAGTGTTGTCTAATCGATACTTTTTGTCGATTTAGAAATCGAATAGCTGGTCTAATACATCAATTAATATACTAATTTCTCACCGCGGAAGGAGGGGTACTACCGAAATCGGGATTATAGACGTCTTATAGAGTTTCCTATATAGGTATCCTTTAAGGAACCCTAAAAGGAATTTTCAATTGAGTTCAATTTTGTCTACGGCTTAGACGTCCAATAGACTCCAATTTCGACGTCTACAACTTAGACGTCTATAGACGTCTTATGGCGTCCCATTTCGACGTCTATGTAGATTTTGATTTAGACCTTATGTAGATCTTGGTCTAGACGTTAAATAGACGTCGATTAGACCTTTCATTTCTCGCTGGGATAACAGCCAGATCATAAAGATGCTTTTAATTGGTTGCGTTTAGTTTATTAGTATACAGGCGACTCGTCTGTGAGACGCATCCGGTAAACATGAACGTATTTTTTTGTGCAAGAACATTAAGTAATGGTCCGTATGCTTCGACAGCCGAAAAAATTTAACAACGATTGAGTTCTCTTATCAGTAGTTATATCGGGAACTCCGAATCTAGACATCTAGTCACAAAAAGCTCTGTAAATAAAATAGTGAGCAACTCATGGAAACTTTTCCCTACTTCGATCGATATTTCAAAAAACTACCTAAAATAATTTTAAATTTTATGGCTTTGGAAAAACGAGTGAAAAATAGAGTATTATAAATATTTTTAGTTAAAATATTTACTTACCATTTTCCTGGAACTCAGGAGTAGTATCAATTCCCACAGTAGAACAAGAGGCCTTCATAATTATCAGCAAACCAAAAAGTAGCATATAAAAGAATAAAAACTGCATATCGAACATCAAATAAGTGATATCCTTTTAATCAATACTTTTTTACGATATTAAACTTATGAATTATTTATGCAGAATTAAGTTCTGAGAAAAATATATAATATGAAAATGAATACGACAAGCAGTTGTCTCATCTTTTCTACAATCTTCATCATTTCTAATTGTGAATATTGCGACATGTTTAAAACTTATTATTTGACATTCAAAAATCCCTTCTCTGGTAGTGACAAAGAGACTTTATCAAAAAATCTGGAAATAAAAATAAAAAGTATGTTGAAATTTATCACTTTTATTGATAAAATGCATATATACAGTTGTCAAAATATCAAAATATTAAGTCAGTTATAACGCAAGAAGAAATGTATTTCCGACGTACTAGAATCACCTCTTTTAGAATTTGGAAGAAAAATTAACATTTGATTTAATGAAAAAAAGTTAGTTAGTTTAAAAAAAGTTTTAAAAAAAGTACACAATTTTTTTCTATTAAATAGAATTTTGGAGAGATAGACATAATAAAAAAGTTATATTTTTTCGAAATTAAAAATTGAGCCTACAAAATGGCCGCCAAAGTATTTAAAATATTGAAAAGAAAAAAATTAGTAGATTATTTTTCTATTAGAATTAATTAAACTCAATGCAAAATTAACATACATAGATAACAACATATTGATACTGAATAATATCACTGGCAGCCCAAAAAAATTAAATGTTCTGAGCTTTTGATCAGACCATGACTACTTTATGTTTTCGGGGTCGCTGGGACCAAATATGAAGTCTGTTTAACCCCATCATGTCAGGATTTTGAAATAACATCAAAAAACCCCAAATTTTTACCCGAAATTTTAAAATCAAGAAAAATTTATATCTCCATGACTTACCATGACTACTTTATGTTTTTGGGGTCGCTGAAACCGAATCTCAAGTTTACTTAACCCCATTAAGTCATGGTTTTGAAAAAACCCAAAATTTCGAGATCAAGAAAAATTTATATCTCCCAGTCTAATCATTACTCCTTTGTTTTTTGGGTCAAGTAGTCAGGGTAAGACTTGGAGATATAAATTTTTCTTGATTTCGAAATTTCGAAGTAAAAATTTCAGTTTTTTTAAGTTATTTTAAAACCCTGACGTTATGGAATTAAACGGACTACATATTAGGTTTCAGCGACCCCGTAAACATAAAGTAATCATGGTCTGATCAAAAGCTCAGAAAATTCAATTCAGATTTTCTGCGTACACCTTCTCAAGGTTTTTACGCTCTTTATCCCTCATCTTTAATAACTATTACTAATAAATTTGTTATTTAATTGTAATAAAATTTAAAATTATTTAATAATATAATATATTTAATAAAAATTTAGATACAATATATACATATTTAAAATTTTTTTAAATTATTTTTAATAATGTTGTTAATTAATTTTTTATTAATTGTTCATAATTTTAAACAATTTAATTAATAATATTATGAAAATAACAAATAATATTATTGAAAAGTAATGGGAAGATGATGTTTTCACGCCCTGAGAGCGTAATAAGACTCTACTCTACGTGGCGATGTGATATGCAGCTGCACGCGTTTCTTTAAAACTTCAATATTTTTTAAACTATTTAATAAATCGTTTTGTAACTTTACAAAAAACTTTATTACACATTGATAAACAAATGTCTCACTGGAAGTTCTTGAAACTCGGAACTTCCCCGCAGACTTTTTGTCGGCAAAGGTAAGAAAACATGATTATCAATATGCCCTTAAATAACAATTAAAAATTATTAAACAAATGATGATTTCGAACATTCTTATTATGTTATCCTTTTCTCTATACTTCAATGTATTAGGATATCAATTCTAAAGTAATTTTATTAATAATTGTCGAAGATATGACAATTTATGTTTTAAAATTGAATGAAATTTAAGAATTAAAATTTGTCAGTTTTTTGTTATTATTAACTAAAATATTCGCTCTACAAAAAAATTTCAAAGAAAAAAAAGATGCGCTTTAATATTTTATACAAGGTAGTACTTTTTAAAAATAAAAATTTTGAAATGTTTTTTTTCCTATTTTTATGCCTACAACCGCTACACTGTTAAAAATATCCATGGGGAATTTAATATACTTGTATATGAAGCAATTTGCATATACCGTATATTAAATTTAATATACCACAATGTTGTGATATTAATACACAGGTATATTAATATCAATATATTTGTGTATATTAAATTTAATTTACTGCGGTATATTAATATTAATATACCGGTATATTAAATTTAAAACATCAAAATCTCATGCTAAAATGATTATAAAAAAAATAATTTAAACAATTAATAAAAATAAACATTAATTATAACTAATACTATCATTTATAATTTTATCTACTTGTATCTTTTACGTTCGAATCTCAGAATTAAATTAAAATTTGAACCCTACGGGGATTGAACCCAGGCGCACCTACCTAATCTAAGACCTAACGCTAACGCTTTAACTACCGCGACTAAATAACCGAATTAGAAATTAATATTCGCACTGTCCATATAAACTGTAACTGCTGAAGACATAAGATTGTGTAAAATATTTAAACATTTCGATTTAGTTATTATACAAAATTAAAGATATATTTAAAATAAAAATTTATTACTTATTTAAAATACAATTAGTGTCTCTAATTATTAATATTTTTTCTACTTCACCTAGATAGTTGCAATTTTTATTAATTTAAAATTTTCTAATCCCATTTAAAGTATTTGAAGTAATAAGATATAGACAATATTGTCGTAATTTAAATTTCTTTTTACAATTTACCTAAAATCATCCAATTCTTCCATAATTTTACATTATACAGTAATAAGAATGTTCAAAAAAAAGAAATGCTTTGAAATAAATTTTTGATAAATATTTAAAGAAATTATTGTTGCTGAATATTAACTTTTTGCATAATGCAACTAGACAAAGATGATTTGTAACTTTTATCACAAATGCTGTTTATTCACTTCTTATTTTTTTTTTCGTCTGAAAAATGTCTACACTTTTCTTATCAACAACTTGAAAGAGAAATATTTTTATACAAACAAATGTATTATTTTTTCTTTGAAAAAGTACTAATTTTTTTATTTATGGATGGTAACTGTTGTGAAATTCAACTAAATAAATATTTAAAATGAAAATGAACGAAATTTAGTGGAAAGTCATTTGAATCTATACCATTATTAACCTTAAAACTACAGGGGAAAAAATTGTGTAAGTATATTTAATAGAAGCGAATTTAAAAGATTTTTTAAGTAAACTTTTAAAGTTGTACACTGAAAACAATTTATTTGATTCAAACAACCTGCCACTTGACTATTATGTCAAATAAATATTTAATTAAAATAAGTAATATTGTAGTAATTATTAAATTAATTAAAAATAATATAATTGCAAAAAAAATACAAATTAATATTTATTTGATAAAAGCTAATCAAATAGTCGATTAATCACTGAAAAAACCTAGTTTCAAATTGAGTATGAATGTTTCAAATTGAGTATGAATAAAATTCCATATTTAATTTGATAATTATCCCAGTTTCATTTTTGCTGCGAATCAAATTGAGTATGGAATTTATACTTAATTTGAAACCAGGTTTTTTCTGTGATATTTAATGATATCAAATATTTTAATCAAATAAATTTTTGATTCAATGCAAAACGTAAAAGTTGAAAATAAATCATTAAAATAACTACTCTTTTAAACATATAAGACACGTACAAATTTAGGATAAATAAAGCATTAATACACTAATGTATTAATATTACTATATATAGATGTACATTACATTAACTTAGAGTACATGTATTTTAAAGTTAATATACCGTGGTATATTAAAAGTATATTAAATTTACAAACATCAGGATTAAGACACCAGTATATTAATATTACCACAAAAAGGTATCTTAATATAATTCAAAGTACAGTTTCTTAAATTTAATATATATTGGTATATTAAAAATGTTGTAAATTTACGAACATTTTTAACAGTGTATGAAATTGTCCCTTCCGAGCGAAGAGCGAGTTCTTCTTCCGAACAGCTCAATTGTTGAAAAACGTTCCTCACGTGAAAATGTCCCAGGGAGACTCCCAGGAGTTTTCTGCGAATTTCTCAAAATGAATTTCCCAAAAGTATATTTAGTTTCTAGTAATTAATTTGAACTTCATGAGAAATATTAATATTAAAAACAAGAAAACCCAGCACTAGGAACAACATGTATCTTTTCAACAAATTAATCAGAAAATTTTAATTTTAAAAGATATGTCACGAGGTGACCAGGCGACTGCCCTTGGTTCAACTTATTCCTTGCGAAGTTCTTTGAAGAAGTTAACTCTCAAAAGCTAAAATTAGGTGTTCATTTCATGACCATTTAGCTTCCTCATCATGATATACTTATATTCAAGATTAAAAGAAGGATTACAACTATAATAGCGATCAATTTTATAAATATTAGTAAAATGTAAACTTTGTATACCTCAATCGATTCGTTTTTATGCCAGGAATACAGTTTTGACAAGAATTAATTAAAATTTTTATAGCAGAAAAAGTTGTTTTCGAAAATACAAAAAACGATTATTTTCCAAAATTGAAAAAAATGATTTAATCTATAGATCTCAGGAAAATATGAACTTTATATAGGCTAATCGACTCGTTTTAATGCAAGAAATAAGTTTTTTTTACTAAACAAAATTAAATTTACAAAGAAAAAAATATTTCAAGATGATTATTGTTAAATAATTTTAAATTTTTATGTTTTTATTAATTCCAATATATTGCAGTTGATTGTCAACATTTGGCGATAAAACCAATAGAGCCGCGCTTTTTAGCAGATAGGTGGCAGCACTCTTATTTTATTTTCTTTAACTTTTTCTATATTTTTTTTATCAAAAGCAAAATTATTTGTTCAACGGAAATATTAGTAAAAAAATGTATTATTTTATTTAAAAACATTAATATTTTAATAAAAAGATTATACCTATTTGTAAAAAAAATTAATTTTTTTATCAAAAAAAATTTTTTTTTAATTGTAAATAATGGTGAAAAAATGTATTATTTCATCAAAAAATTGATTTATTAATCAAAAAAATTGGTGAAAATTAATTTTTTTATCTAAAATATTGGTGACAACATTTATTTTTTATCAAAAAAAAATATTTCATTAAAAAAAATTAATATTTTGATAAAAAAATATTATTGGTGAAAACAATTATTTTTTTTATAA